GTGGTGTTGGGTTTGCGAGGAAAACTACAACACGTAGAAAGTCGCATGTTGAAAAGAAACATTGCAAGACTTCTCCAAGTGAAACAGGCTGGTGATCGAAGGAAGACACCAAGCAAGGAAAAGGCTGCTTACCTAAGAGAAAAAGGGAGTAGGAACCCGTTATAAAGATAACCGAAGAAGACGTGGAGAAGATTCACGCTTAAGACGTCAAGGAGACGTGATGAAAGTCCACGAGAGCTTTCAAGGAGACATGGAGAAAGCTCGAGGGTAAGAGAAAACCCAAAGAGTTCCAATGTCTGAAATGGGAACCGGTTACAAAGATAACCGAAGAAGATACGTCAAGGAGACGTGAGGAGAGTCCACGAGAGACTTGAAGGAGACTATGTATAATGTTATAATACATAGTTACGTGTGAATATTCAAAGTAAAAGGTGTGTTTACAAGTTGTGACTTGTTAGAGAAGAAAGGGTAGTTATTTAGTTTAAGAGTTACAAGGAGGAAAAAGACACAACTATTCACTTGTGTCTATTGTATATCTATATAAGTGTGTCAATTGTGTTGATATAAATTTGTCGAGAATAAAGAGAAGTTTTTCCAGATTTTGTTTTGTTCTTCTATTCTCTTCCAACAAAATTCTTAAGTTTGAAACTATTTATTTTGTTATCATAAACTTAGTAACGTATGCTAAGGTTGTTTAACTACGGGCGTTTAAAAAGAAACACCAATTATGTCTGCATAGGATAATAATCTTTGCTCCTCTTATGCGGCATACACCTAGTTTGGAAGCCCCATCAATATAAACTTTGCTGAAAACGGTATATACAATTAATCAAAGTAAATCAGATGTTAAACCATCATACTTTCAAAAGTCGAAAAAAATCGAGTGTTCTTTTCGATCCGAAAATTATCTCACATTGTTTACGCGGCTAATGAACTCGTTTTATATAAAACTTGAGATACTGTTGGTGGTCTTGGCTTTACATGAACATTATCTGTTCTGTAAGGCCTGCAACTCGATCGACTTAGTCTTAATCCTGGGGGATGATCCATCATTGTGCATTAAGAGAAACAATATTCATGTCAATGTATAATAAGTACATTTCGTTAGGATCCTTTCTATTCTTTTTTCAGTTTTGTTTCTACATAGGATTGTTTTGAGCTTTAGACATTGGTTTG